CTTCCTTCCGCCACTTCCTTCCTTCCGCCACTTCCGCCACTTCCTCCCTCCCTCCCTCCCTCTTCTATTCTTTTGTCCATTCTTATCCTTTCTCGCTGTGATAAGAGAATCTTAGCAGGTTTCCTAACTAGCATTTTCTTCCCAAAATATCTTCTGCTGTACCGAAGATTGTAGCCTCTCCTCCAACCCATAGATTTATTATGCTGAGGAAAAGCAGAACGCTTAGGAAAATTTGAGAGCTATTTATTTATTTGCTTCCTTATTTATTTTTGGCGCTTACATAATTACACCTGCCATGATTAGTTTTAATATGATGAATTGCAAAGATAAAAGTGTAGCATGCTTTGTGCCTATTCATTTCACTTGCAAATGCAGCATAGATCTTCCTTATTGCCTGTGCAATTTCACCAATAGAACAGCCTTTAGAGAATGCTGAAATCAGTAATCTGAAGCCTGTAGAAATGTGATCGAGTCTGATATGAACCCTACATGTTTCTCTTTTCTTGTTTACTTTGTTTCTGAAACCAGAGCCTCAACTACAACAGATGATTCCTTTGCCCTAGTGTGCCCATGGTTCAATTCTAATTAATAACATCAGGAGATAACAAAAGTCTGATATTCTGTTTGTTTGATTGTTTATTTAATATATATCTGTTTGTTTAATATATATCTGTGCACATACTCATCTGTAGAACACTGTCTTCGTTGCATCTCAGCAGGTTGTGTCCTGTCTTCCAGTGACCCTTACACTTTTGTTCAAAAGCAACCCAAATGAAACAAAATTATAATTTTAAGGCCTCAGTAAGCTTCTGAACTTGTCCAAAACAACTTGGAGATCAGTTCCTAAACTTATCTTCACTGAAGATCACTCAGGAGAGAAGCTGGATGCAATCTCCTCAATTTCAGAAGGCAGAGATATTTTCTGTGACATCATCACTGCATGTGACATCAATGCTTTCTCTTCTGAAAGGCTGTGATGTCTGTAGCTCATAAATTCAGGTTAACTGAGATGTTTCTTTTATGAATGGAAGTAGATAACAAAGCCCTTTCTTTGGTGCTATAGATGGATCAGAGCAATAGTTTGTAAGAATATTATGTGCAAACAGTTAAAGAATGCGTCCTTTACTTTTTCTTCTTTCCTCTATGGTTTGTTGGGTGTCCTCTGTGGAAGGTTGGTGATGAAGGCATAGATTATTCCTTCATGTTTGTTTTCAGGTATTCTCAGGTCAAATATGGTAAAACCTTAGTTGAAAAGAAAAACATACTCATAACAGCAACATGATTTTGAAGTTGTTTATAAAAATCAACATACATAAAACCTTAATCTCTTGTTAATGTATTTTCATGTGTTATATAAATTAAGCAAATAAGCACCACTAGAATGTTGTCAGTTTTGAATAAAAGCTATTAAACATTACAATACCATAAACTTGAGTGCATTTCCCTGGACCTGTAGGTTACAGCATACTCTCAATCTCTGAGAATGATTTGTTCTTTTTTCCTTAGTATTAAGCAGAAGCTGAAAGCTAGTACAAACCCTGAAACCTTAAATATCTGTTTCCTCTAAAATGAAAATTAAAACAAAAGTTTGATGTATATCTAGCTAAGAAGCTCCTACCTGAACAAGATCTAAAAACTTGCAAGGAACCCAAGAAAACAGCAATACTCAACAGTGTTTGACAATTACTTGAGAAATATTTTTCTCCAAAAACTTTCCTTTGCTCAGAGACATCTCAAAGCTAAAAAGAAGCCAGGTGACTTTCATTCCCTATTTTGAGAGCAATTTCTGATATCTGCCTTGCTATCTAAACTTTTAACTAATTATAGAATTATATCTCTTTATTCAGCCTTAAATATGAGATTTAATATAGTGGGCATAACTTGGTTTGCTGAAACAATATCTGTTTAGTATAGCAGCTCTGTGGAATATACAACAAAACATCTGTTGCTCACAGAGTTCAAGGAGATAATTTCTTCAACCTGTGAGTTTTGAATCTTTAACCAGCTCTTGCTTTCATTATTGCTAGCAGAACTACCCGAGTAGTGAAAGGAAGCATAAATAATCAGCAAAAAATGACAGCAGCAGTGAAGTTCTTCACCATGGGACATGAAGCACTGAGCATTAAGTCAGGATCTCTGCTTTTGACATACAACCAGTAGCCCTAACTCTAACCTTAATTATAGCCCAGGGCTCTATCTCCTCAGAAAATATGTACATAAGGTATGGGACTTAAGAAATACCTTACCTCTTCCTACTCTCAGGCCCATTATCATTCAGCAAAGAGTGTATTTTATATTTTATATTACTTTGTTCTAAATCTTAGTGCAATTAAGTACAGGGGAGCTACCCCAGCAATGAAAAAATCATCTCATACTGCCTAGAGTTGACACAAAATTTTTGCCTAACTCCACAGACCTACAATTTTGTCCCTTTGGATTAGCAAATCCTGACACCATTCCTAACTTTAACCTTTCCATTCTAGTCAAGAGAATCCATCTTTTCTGAAACAGTGAATACTGAAGGTGGAACCTGCCTTCTTGCCATCAATCAGAGCCATTTAGCACACAGCAAAAAAAAGAACTCTTCAGTTTTTAGATTTAAAAATCCAAGCCCTAACTCTTACTTTCAAGTTCATTCTATCCCAAGGATCCATTCTGAGTAGTAAACCCATTAAAATACTGCTCATCATAAGCGTCTACTTTCATTTGAGCTCTGAAATGCCATTCAGCCAAAATCTTAAACTGTTAGGTCCCAAATGCTAACACTACCTGTCAGCTTGAATTTATTTAGAGGACTCCCCTCTTCTGGAAAAGTAGATATGCAATACTGTATGAAAGGGCCTTTGTATTCCTAAAAAATTCTTAGAGCCATTCAAAACACAAAATCTTTTCATTACTCTTTAGACTCCTGTGGTCTAACTCTAACCTTCTTCTCTCTAGCAAAGAAACCTAACCAGATGGTGTAAGGGGGGTAATTTACCGGCCATGACCAGCTCTAACCTTGTCCACAGTGGTGGAGATGGTGCAACATCCAATCTTACAATGAGATCTTCTCTCTCCAGAGACCAAAATCTTGTCATCTTCACTTTCATTCCAGCCAGCCAAGCCATCTGAATAATAAAAGAAGGCATAAAGATTTACCACAAATTTTTGCCAATAGATGACCATTTCAATTTCAGTCTGTGTGGGCTCCAGAGCAGAAAAATTATTGTCAGGCTTTAGATTCCCCAACTTCTAAAATTCAAGAGCAGGAGGAACTAGGCTTACATTTTTTTCTTTTGTTTGGGATAGGCATGTCACACATACTAATTAAAGAGCTGCTAGGTTTCTCTTTTATCTCTAGACATACTGACTCTATAAAGTTATTTTAAAAATATTTTAAAGCTACCCACCCATCATTTACAGGCACATACTGGGTTGTGGTGCCTACCCACTGGCCATTACATGCGCACTGTACCTGCGTAGTGTGGAGAGCCAGAATGTGGGTTTTGTACAAGTCCTTTGGCAGAATTCTTGATGAAAGAGGCCACTGTTGTTCTGGAATTTGCCATTGCAGAGACTTTCTTGCAGTGAGATAAGATTGCTTAGATGTTGCTATATGGTTCTGGTGTTCAATAATAGCTAAATTCATCACTTCCCAAGAACTTCATTCTTTATCCCAACGTCTCTGATCACTCCTCTTAGGTAACAATCTGTGTGAGAGAACATGGAAAAGACAGATTGAAAATCCGAATGTTAATGAGGAAGTTAGTGCAGAGGTAGCAAAAAGGACTTCTAAAATACAGCCTAGCAATCACCAGGAAGCAATTTTACTTCTTCTAATATATATTTTGCCTTCCACATGGTACTGTTGAAGGTAAAGTGATTGATGTTTAAAGTGCTTTCCATTTCTTTGATGCAAGTTGCTATGGAAACAGAAAGCATACTTATCAGGTATTTGCAGTCACTTTTTGTTCAATCTAACTTGCTAGGTTCACTTTTTCTTGGAGTCTTGCTGCACTGTTCAGCATCTGATGTCCATAGCAGACCCACAACAGATCTCCTATGCTGCTCTGTGTACTTTCCTTTCAGTATACTTTAGCTGGATTTCTTAACAGCAGAGCTATAAACTCAACTGCTTGCAGCACTGGAGAAACTTCTGCCCATCATGGGAAGGATTTTCATGATAATGCATTAAGCAGTTCAAAGGTTGGAAAGAGACTCTGTTGTTCCTTTAAATATTTATAATATCCCTTGCAGTATGTAAATGCAGTTAAACTATTAGCCTTTTGTAACAACTGCCTTTGGATGTGCCATGTCAAGGCACTGGGGGCACTGCAGCCCTGTGCATACAAATATACATATTATATGGTTTTAGCCCTTCAGGACTTGGCTGCTGCTACTACCTCAGGACAATCTTTCCCTTTCCAGAAATGTGACAGCTGTAATCAACAGAAGAGAGGAAGGAATCTGTTTTGCTTTCTGTTTGATTTTACTTACATTTGAGTACTTTCCTTGTTACAACTCTGGTTACAAGTTTTGAATTTTTTACTGATTCTGTTCTGTAGCTGAGAGAAGAAAGCATGATTTAATCATAAAGAAAGATGAAAGGGCTTGTTTATGTTGGGGTTTTTTATACTATTTGTGTGTTGTCAAGGGAGAAAAATTTCCATGCCACAAAGAAAAGCAAAATAGTAGGATTAAAAAAAATCTAGCTTTTTAATAAGGTCTGACTTACCTCTCTGAGGCACAAACACAAATACTTTCTCTGCATACCTATGCACATGCATGGGCAATAGACCTCCAGGAGCACATGAAAAAAGAAGTGAAACTTCACTGGGAAAAGACTTGTCAAATAAAAAAAAATAAGACTGCCTATGTTAAGCATGCACCCCTATTGTTCTGGAAGGGAGAGGTATTTGCTTTAATCTTAATAGCAAAAGGTGCAGATGTGTCTGATTAGCATTCAAATCTTTCTTGGGATGGGCTGTGGATGGCTCCGGAGCAAAGACAAGTAGGAGGTTCCTTTTCCCAGTCAGGGGACTTTTCTTCTTTGCAGTCATTCTTGTCTCTCAATTCTTGGTTGCTTTCCTTTCATGTGAGTCCTTAAATTAGAGGATAAGTGAAGGTTGTGTTTTGGTATCTCTTCCTAAATCTATCCTCTGATGAATCAAGAGCCCCCTTCACTTTCTTGCCCGTCTGTTAAAAATCTTACAGTATAGTAAGGGAAATACAAGTGTTTTACTATCTCTGTTGCTGAGACTGTCAGTTTCTTAGCAGTAAAAGCAGAAAGAAATAAACCTATTGACAATGAGGGGAGATGTAATAAAAAGTGACCTTCATCTATATTTCATTTTTTTTAAAGCTTCAAGAGAAGAGTAAAAGACTTGCAGCTGGGTTGCCTCAAACAGCCTGTAGAACTACTGAAAGAAACCTGCTTTCAGGGTGTATCTCTGCTTCCACATTCCTAAATGCTTTTATGTTTTAAAAAGCATTCTTCTTTCTTATGGATTTGCATGGAGACTGCTAGAGGTGGACTACACTTCTCCATCCAGACAAGAAAAAAAAAAGAAAAAACCCAGGTTGCCTAATTTTTCTAAGGACTGAAAAGTAGTGCCAAAATAATTTCCAGAGCAGAAAAAGAGCTATCCTCTTATTTTTACTATAAATATTGTAACATTAAAGAGTCATTTTGGAAGGGGCAAAGCCATTAACAGAAGGAAAACAAACCCCAACCACACATTTTAAAATTCAGTTAACTATTTCCATTAATTTGTGAAATATGTAAGTGCATTGTGTATTCTGCAGGACTGATGGTGAACTGTAGCCAAGGGTCATCAGAGTACTTGAGGTGAAAGGCAGCAGTGGAGAAGAAGGGCTGCAGAAATGCTGCACTAAGCTGACTCAGTGCTTGATTTGCCATGTGCTGAGCAGCTATGAGATAATTCTTCTCCGCATCTCAAAGGTCTCCCTTTTGTCCTTTACAATGGATGAAAGAATAAAGGGGCTGAAGAAGTTATACTCAGTATTTGGCAACCTCACTAATTCAATCTGCATCTCAGCTCCTGCTGCTCCTTTTATCCTATATTTTTGGGTGACTGGGTGGGTGGAGAGATCGCTCCTCCTTCAAATCTTTTTACACACAGTTACGTTTCCTCTTTTGTAACAACTCCAGTAAAATAGAAGAGCAGAGGTTCTGATTCTCCTATTCTCTCATAATCTTTGCTTGGTCCCCATTAACATCCTCAAAATGGAAATGCACCACTTTTACTTGCTGCACCTTCCACCCTAACAAATATGTGGAGATGGAGACTTGCACTGTCCCATCCTTCATGCTGGGGCAGGGATTCCCTTGCAGCCCTGTTAATATTTGATGTCTGCCTTGCTGCTGCTCCAGTTATTTCTGGCTTGTTCCTAGTAGGTGTTTATTGAATAAAGGCCAACAGCTGGGGTGCTGCATACAGTGAACACATCTTGAGAGGAGATTCTTTGCTTGCTTTGAGAGAAGAGGCATTTCACACAGTGCATGGTAATGGCCTATGTGAGCCTTATGTATGGGAAAGGACAATTTAAAATAGAATGAATTCTAAATTTGAGTCATTTCACCCTAATTTTTTTTAAAGGATATACAAACCAGTAACTCTGTACATTTTGGGTTTGTTGTTGGTAAAGAAAAAAAAAGTAAAGGAGAAATCTCCTTTTCTCTGACATCATCAAGAAAACAAACAAATTTTCACAACTGCTGTTAATAAGGAGTCAAGATAATTTAACTAGAAGTAACAAATCTGTGCTGAAATATCCATTTCAGTACCAAAGGATTATTAAAAGTCACCCAGATTTATTTCACCAGTCTCATTTCAGCATCAGAATATGCTGACAAAACTTTGGAAATTTAAGCATTGGCTGCTTTTCCAGATATAGCTAATTCATAAAAGATGATGGGAAGGTATATGACATTTATATGCTGAGGGTCAGTACATCACAGTATTGTACTACTGATTTTCAATGTCACTTGAGTTACTCCATCATTTTGCTATAACTTCTTTTATGTTTTGAGCTCTAGAGGCAAATACTTCAAGCAAATGGCCATAATTTCTTCTGTGAAGTTGGTGAAGTCTAACAAACAACTTGCTTGAGGGTATATCCTCACATCAATAAAATACGTGAGCTAGCAATATAAAAAGTGAATGTATGGGGAGCACCCTAAAAGTTGAGATAAAAAATTTAAGTGTTAGTATTTTTTATTCTTTTCATGAGGCATGATAGTAAGTTTTTTTAACTAAAATTAGGTCTTTCAGGAGCAATAAAGAAATCTGAAGAGTCTACTGCCAGTAGAGGAGATACTAATGTCAGAGAGGAGTGCTAGATGAAGCTCTACTGCTGCCAATACCTGCATAGATATGTGCCTTTCTTTGCCTCAGTCCCTTCCCAGTAGAAATGGGAAAGTTCTTCAGTGACTATCATCAAATAGATCAATGAATAATTTATGTAACTGTAATATAGCAAGAAGTTAACACTGACAAAGTTGAAAACCAATAGCTGAGTAACTGACAAAATATTTTAGACTAGAAAACTCCTTGGTTGATGCAACTTACTAAACAAATAAACCCACACTACAATGTGCTGTAGCTGCATTTAACTTCAGAGGGAGATACTTGAGCCTGGAATTTGTCTTTGTTAGCAAGCAATAGATGCAAACTACTTGTCAAAGTTCAATAGAGTAATGAGTCCTTTCCCATAGCAATAGCATTTCCCTCAAATGCTATTGTTTTTTTGCTTCCCTTCATAGATTTTTTACCATCCAATGAATGCGTATATTGTTATGTTTGGTTCTGTACTTGTCAATAGAGATGGTACTTTGGGCCAGAACAGCAATAAAGGATTCCGGTAGCTGGGATTACTGGACAAATTTAGCATTGCTATTGACAATTGACCTGAGATAGTGCAGTGAGTAAAAGTCTTTCAGATGTCATTTTGGCAAAAAGGACTGTGGATGTGCTACTCTTCTCTGTTAGTTGTGGAGGTAAGTACACCCTTAAACAATGACGAAAGGAGTTGAGGACTAGACTAAATAATTCAGAAATCTCTTAGTGCAAATATAGCTTTTTTCTACATGTGCCAAAGAAGATCTCATCCTAAAATGAGAAATTCTTGGAATCCATTTAAACATCTGCATGGATACGGAAAAACACTGTTTTCATTTCCATCTTCCTCAGTAGTTGTTTCTTCATGGTGTCTACAGACAAATGCAGAGGTATTTTATCTTTCAAGTAGTATGTGCAGGAATTGGAGACCTGTAAAATCATGGTCCTTCCATCTCTGCCTTGGTAAGAAATATTTTTGTGCCACCCCTAGTGAAGGCTGTGTTTATCAAGTTTACAAAAGCTCTAGATCAGACAAATGACTAACGCAGTTCTTAAATCTAACATACATTTCCACAAAGTTTGTCCCTGTCTGTAAGGGAAAGATGTAAAGCTTGCCCAGGCATGCACTCTGATGCAACCATCTACCCTTAAATGTTATCAAGAAACTATTGTGAGTAGATAATTGTGAGTAAGTAGAGATCCACCTATTTCTGAATTATTACTGAAAATCTGATAAGGACAGAGAAAAGAGTTTTCCAGAGGCCTTCAATATTATCCACTGGGCAAAATCTCATTCTTAGCACTTGTCTAAGGCAGGTGCACTGGGCATCACACCATCTGACCATGCATTCAGATATGGTGTGCTCTTCCAAGGACACACAAGTTATATTGTCATATTCAGAGATTCAATCAGCCCTGCACCTCCTGCAGTATTTTCTTTTGTTTTTCTAAAACATTTCCTGCAAAACATCACCTGTAAGATCTATAGCTGTGTTTTCACAGTATATCTCCTCTTTCTGTTCTGTGCTTTACTCAGGTCTTAGATAAATCTTCTGTAATTTCACAGAGAAAAATAAATAACTGAAAAATTTCTTCTTATTATATCACAGCAAATTCAGGTTTTACTTGGCTGAAAAACATGTTTTCCAACTGCACTGTTGTATTCCTCATTTTTTCTTTGAAGGTACCGAATGTGGTTGGAAAAAACAGTGCCCAATCTATCAGTGTGGTGTACAGGCAGTAGCTAGACAAATAAATGTAGCTCTTTTTGAACATATATTCCATATCACTTGCTTTGCTTCTACAAAAGTAAGAAAAAATGAGGTTTTTTTCTTTCTTCTCTTTTTTCCTCCTTTAATTTTCTTAATGTGTTTGGAGGGAATTAAAAATAGTTCATTATGAAAGGAACTTAGTGTAACAATGTAAGTCCTGATTTTTGCAATGAGCTGTGATGAGATTGTGTACATATCAGCCAGTATCAGACTACTAATAGTCTTAGACTGTGAGCTATTCTTAGTTATTGAAGAACAATATCTATAATCAAGGAAAAAAAATCTATTTTAAGTGATAACAACAATTCCTAACGAGATGTTGTGGCAAACATAGATCAGAGGTGTATTTTAGGACTACTGACTGAAATTCAGGTATTTGAAGACAAGTATTTACCTTTTTAACTGTTGCTATAAATATAGAGTTTATGCACATTCACTTGTGAAGAGCAAGAAATCCTCCCTGCCTCTGACCAGTGAGGATGGTCCAGCTTGTGAGAGTCAAGTGGAAGACAAATGTACTGTTCATGTACTGTTGAATGTCCTTCGACAAGTGACACCATTAAAACATGATTAAAACATGGCAGTTTTATTAAGCAACATTAAACCGCTGTGTGTTATACTCTGCTACACCAACACATTGCTGTAGCAGATGTCTTTAAACCTTTAAACATCTCAGACACTAGTCTGTGCTGGCAGGTCCTTAAACTGCCTCAATCAAGTTGCATTTACTTTCTTGCTCCAGATTTAGTAGACAATGTAAAGTGTCCTTGGAGGAGAAACTAATCAGGTAAAAAGCTTATTACAGCTTACATGAGAGCTTTGAGTTATTCACTTTGCCAAAATCAAACCTTTTTCTCATTTGTTGTTGTTGCTAATAAAACAAAAGGAAAATCTGAACAAAACCAGCAATTCATGTACCTGTCATTCTGCATCCCCGCATCCATTATCCTGTAGTTCATTTCCCTGTTACTCTTTGCCTTCAGAAGCACACAGTAAAATACAGCTTGTTCTTCATTTTTCCTCCTGATGAGGTAGAACAAATTAAAAAATGAACAAAGAATTGCTGCAGATTTGACAGCTGCTCCTGGCTTTTATTAGTTATTTTTTGTGTGTTTATTAACACCCGCCTGCTTCAGACATCAAATGTAATTTTACTCTGAGAATTTCCGTGCTGTGGTCTCTAATCTAATATACTCTGATAATCTTCATTTTCATGACCTTTAACAATTAGCTAGCTTTATCTATGGATTCTGAATGTATTTTGCATAAAAAAAAAAAATTGTACCACCCCCTCCATTATTTAATTATTCATAAAATTACCTGGGTACATATATGTGATTAAAAGTTTTGATTGAAACCAAGGATTAGCAAAGGGAAATGTGTTCTGGACAGCAATAATGACTTGTAACTCTTGAAGTTTGTTTAAAGATATTTTTGATTGTCAATTAATTAGCAATATTTATGGACTAAAACTGCAAAATACTTGGAGAAGAAGAACAAAACTCATACTCCATTGAGCTTTTGACAACATGTTAAGATTCATCCAGAAAAAAAAATCTTTTCTGGCATTACAAAAATTTTCTACTTTTTAGCTTTTTAGTTATTCTAAATTTTATTTATTTCTAGCATTTCAAAATTTTCAGCTTTATTTTAATTGAAATAATATAATTGTGATTATATTTTTTATATATATTTTTTATATATATATATTTATATATATATATTTATATATATATTTATATATATATATAAAAATATATATATATATTTTTTATATTAGATTTTTTTTCTTGTTTTAGACTATAAGAGATTTCAGGTGAGGGTATAAATTCTCTCTTTTGACAGGTTCTGCAATATCAAAATATTGGAAATAATGAGACAGATGGAATATAGGCGTGTCCCCATCATGCTTGCAAATAAGTATTCACACAGCACTGTCATGACAGAGCCATTTCATTTACCCCTGCTCTAAGTTTCAGTGGTTAATATTTGGGAATACTTGAATAAAGAGAACAACACCTAAATGTGTAATAATCTATACTGTAATGGCAATGCATACAGGTCTGTTGGTTCTGTTTAAATTAACATAAAATTTCTATGTTTATTCCTAGCTTTGGAATGTTTGTCTTCCAAATGAAAAGCACTTCAATAGATGAAGAAGATCCTTAAAACAAAATTTCCAGTCTAATTTTCCTTATGCAGAACAGAAGAATAAGTGTAGCAGGTGTTTTGTTGAGAGAAGATGATTTGTAAAGAAGTTCTGTTGATGGTAGAACCCAAGAATTCCATAGTGTTAGGCACTTGTAGAATCCGTCTTGCTGCAGGATTTCAGGACCAAGTTTGTAGAACAGCTGTGAAAATGTGGACTGAGGTTGGTCTAGAGGACTTCTGGAGATGTGTCTGGCCCTGTAATTCTGCAACCCAGCTGCCCTAGGAATTTGCCAGCAACCCACTGATGCACAGCCGAGTCCTGACTGCTCAGCTCTGTGATGCACATCCAGCAGTCCACGGGCTCTCAAACACCAAAATCCTGGCTACTGTCACCACAGAATCTGTCCCCCAAAATAACCAGTGGGAAGAGAAAACCCATTTTGAACGGCCACTCTATCTCAGTGACAAAAGTAGCAGCGCAGAATTTGGAGGGCACGGTGGTAATTGATGGATAGAGACAGCTGCTGGAAACAATCCACTAAAGTTAGTGTAAAGGCAAAAGACTGAACACTGTGTTGCCAGGAGTTAGAGCATGATTTGATTAGACGTGTTTTCCCAATAATTACAGGTTGTCTGTACACCTCTATGGATCACAAGAACTCTAGGCCAAACTGCCTGTGGCTTGTTTTTCCTCTTGTTTGCTAAGCTTAAATTAGTCTCCTGGCTCCTGGCATACTAGACTTTGAATCAAAATTTCTTCTTTATATCCATCCCTGTTAAGACAAGATTAGTATGATGACGGCGAGTATAAATTAAGAAGAAAAATAAAAAAAGACATTGCTGGAATGTACAGGCGTTTCTCTCAATTTAATTTAATTAAGTAATCATTGGAATAAAATGTTGCCATAAATTATGGGAAATTCAGGTACCTAGAATCCATGCTGATTCTTCTGAAAGGAATTCTGCTTATATATATAATTTTTTTTTTTTTTTGTGAAAAGATATTATCAACTTTCTTCTGCATTGTTTTTCCCTCTGTTATGTGTTGCTCCTTTCCCATCAGGTTTGGCTACATAAAAGATATCCCCATGCATGTAAGCATTAGATTTGGTTCTTTACAGGCAAATGCCTAGAAGCATACAGTTAGGGATTTGTTTATTGACTCATTTAAAAGAAGAGAAAAACAATCGATTCATTTTTCTTAATTGAAGCCAGATTAAAATTTGGGAGGTAGATTTTAATGCAAGCCCGTTCTTGCAGCAGTGAATTATCTTTGTTCCCCATCTTGGGTTGACCAATTCCAGAAAAATGTGTCAGGTATGATGAAAGCTTATAAAGGTGAGAAATGAAGGGTCTCCACATTCTGGTTTCAAGAAATAATGACCATGCCACAAACATCTGATACTCCTTTTTTCCCCAAGCATAGGAGTATGGCAGCATCATGCTTTCCTTACCTGATGGAAATCTTGGCTGAGACATTGCAGGAGCAAGTCACAGCACTTTGGACAGGGACTGGTTAAAAAGAAGTTGACAGAAAATTGGTCATTCCTTTTGCACAGAAATGATTAATTCCACTGTACCAGTCCTTGAGTCCACTCCCAAGTCCTTTCAAATAATTTCTGTGTCCCATGCCACCTAGCTAAGTGGGGAAAAAACAACATTTAATTAAAGCCAGTATTAAAAAAAAGAAATGAGTCTGCTGTTGTAAATTTTTCCCTAGGGCCCAGTAGTACGTGTTTGTGCGAAGAAAAAAGAGTAGAAATTAAGCTAATAATAATAAAACTTAGCCTTTGCCTCTCTCTAAAGTGCTGTTAAGTCTGAGAAATCTTCACACTGCTGCTGTGAGTTACAGAAGCAATAGATAGCACAGTGTTGAGAAAGGGTTAGTTTTCTCTCCATGCAGACAAAAAACATGAGGAGTACATCTGCACCTTCATCCCCTGTGTTGCTTTTGCTTCTAGTGTGCTGGAAAAAGCTGCTGAGTTGCAAGAATTGGTTTCTTCTGCTTTTTATGGCAGCATTCAGCACTAAAGGGATAAATATTCTTAACTGATATATAAGTTCAAAAGCAGTATTCAAAAACTCAGAAACCCCCTGCGAACAATACCTTTTAATTTTTTATCTAGCACTAGGAATATTTACATGAAAAGGCTAAAATATTTCTGCTTCTTAAGCATTTATCGAATCCTGCTGTGTTGTCCTCATCTGTTACAGTTTTCAGCTGTTCATTTCAGATCAATGTTTCCCTTTTCCTTTTGGTGAAAGGCAGTGTCAGAACTGGAGTGAGAAAAGCTGGAACTTTGTACTTTAGACTGCGTGAAGAGGTTTTGAGTGTTGCAGAATGAGTGGAAACAGCTAGTATTAGTTTTAATGTGTTTATTTATTCTGGAAGAGCTACAGGAGCACTGCACAGCTTTGGTGGTTAGCAGCACAGCTTCACAGCTAATGGTGTTGGAAGTCAGCCTTCCCAGCTCTCTGCTTTTCTCTGCAGATCCAAGAAGTCTGCATGATACCAACTGGTACTGGGTATCAAGACTGTCGCTCCTTAAAGGGAGCACCCTGTCACTTGAGTTTGGTGTCTGCTATGCAGGATGTACAGATGAAGTAAAATCCACTTATGTGAGTATTTTTCCTTCATTTAACTCATTAGACTCATGTATTTGGTTTTGTTTCTGGAGCCATGCTAAATACAGACATTCAAAGATGACTTCAGCAGGAGACAGGCTTTTGGTTGGATATTTTGGAGATTTATGACTAATGCTTTTGGGAGAAAATCATGTCTCCCCTTCATGTATAGTTGCGTATGTAACTGATGACTAGATTTAACTTGAGAAGAAGTATTATCTTGATAAGGTCAACAGAGATGCTTTTAAGAGAGGATATTCTTTTTGTCATAGTTTTGCATAGTAGAACACAGTACAGTCTATCTGAAAATGATCTCTGATGAATTTCTAGTATTGCATGCCCAAAAAAGCTGCTGATCATGCTCTACTATCACACTGTCCTCATGGCTGCTGCTGTTGTGCATTACTGTTGGCTTTATATTTGCTCTAAGCTGTCCTGAGATACAGCGTGGATATTTGCTGAATGTTTTGGAGCTACCTATTCCCGTTTTTTCCCCCACTTTTCTGTGAAATACAACTTGAAAATACATGTAACAAACATAAAAACTTGGACATCTTGAAGTTGTTTGCAATGCATTTCTGTCTTCCTAATCTCCAAGTAGATTTAAATATTCCAGTGTTTTAATTCTATACGCATTACTTACATTTTGTTTTCCACTTTCTTCAGACTTCTTTTCGTATATGATCACTGTGACTCCCAGTGTGGTCTATGGCATCAGTAAGAACATAAAAACTGCAGGGAAAAGGATTTCAATGTGTGGGATGGAAGTTACAGCACAAAATGCTTTTAGTCAACATGCCAATTTTGGCATTTTATTGTGGTTCATGGGGATTGTCCGCACACTGCAACAAAGCAAGTCTTTTTTCTCTCTTTCTCTTGATTTTCCTGACTTTGAGTGTGTAGAGCATAGCAATAATTCATTGATGTAAAAAAAGTGGTCTCTATCTCATACATCAAGAAGCATTTTGCTAAACTTTAGCTGAGGTTGCAGCTGAAACAGGTTTGTGTATATGGGCTGGCTTTAAACAAACTGTGACTGGTACTGAGGATGACACACCTGTGACATCCTGGATAGACATCTAAATATGCAGATGGGCTCAAAGATAACATGTTGTCTGGGAGGAAAAGTGAAATTAACGTATAGAGACCTCACATTTTCACATTGGATGAATGCCCTGTGAAATTGGCTCTGCACACAAGTTTAGATGGATTTCAGATTGCACTGAACTACACAGCTGTTCTGTTATGGACAAAAAAGCAAATCAATTTAAGGCTATTCAAGTCTACAAAAGTGATATATGTACCTTCTGTGTTGTATTGTGGATATTATGACTGTTGGCTACGGGTGTATTTTTGCTTTTTAGAAAATACATGCCCCCAGTGGGAAAACAAACAGTACAAAGCCTGAGGAACAGCAAATCAAGGTTGGATGGACAATGCTAAGGGAATGAGACCAAAAAGATGTAGGTTTGTTGGAGGAAGAAGATGACTTTTCAGGCTAGAAACTACATCAGGTTTTGAAGTCTGTGACTTAGAAACAACTCCTGAGAGATTCCCAGTGGTAGAATTATACTGAAGACCAGGTAGGACTTAATTTTAATTCTTTTTTTAAATCATTAGAATTAAAATCATTAGATTCCTCTGGTGTTTTGATTTGAAGTGTCAAGGCATATAGACAGTGATTCAAATATAACTACGAATAAATTTCCTTCAGAAGTTTGGCATACAGAAATGAGTCAAATGGCAAGATACTTTTTATAACTGACTATAAAGCTCTGTGTGGATTTTAACCACAAAATGCAGAGGTCAGAGGTTCTATATCTCATTCTGTTCTGCCCACACAGTTACACACCTTGTAGTTTTTTACACTTTTTTACTTGATTTGACCTCTTGTACCTCTTGATGGTGACTGAGTGTTTTCCTCTTTAGTATTTAATTAAAAAGTTCATAAGTGAAAGAAGGCTTCTAAACCTGTAGTAGCTGCCTGTGCAGCACCAGAGCATGGAACATGGAGGCAATATTTCCTTTTGACTTACTATGAAATGGAGGATAGGAAAACAGCACCCAGAGTGATGAAGGGGGACAAACATCCACTTGCTGGAAGGTACCAGTGATAGGTAAGACCCAGCTTGGTGTGTTCCTTAAGCAAATAACCTGTGCTGTGTGGGGTGGGGTGTACCAGCATGGTTGGCACGTCACACTACAGCAGCTGGTCTGCTCCCACTTGCTCTGGCACTCATCTCGTGCTGCTGCAATGAACTCTGGAAGTACACAGAGTATTGAGTTTCATCTCAGATTGCCTGATGTCTCCAGAAAAACATTTCAAGTGTCTTATTATGTTTCAATGTGATTATTTTAAGTGCATTTATGTGATGACTTTCCCACGGAACTGCTGTGGGGCCAAACCTGGCAGTGTTAAGGGCTCCATTTACAGTAGAAATCCTAGAATTGTACATAGGTGGGATCTTTGGACAATGTCCTGGTTCCAGCCAGGGTAAATTTTTGCAGTAGACAGGAGGGGACATGGCCAGGACATAGTTATGCTATTCCACTTCTCATGATTGCTGGGGGCAGGGGAAAGTGGCTCTTTTCCAGGGAGAAGGTGTTTAGTAGGTGGAGGGAGACATCCGGTATTGTCTGTTATAATCTGTGTTTTTCTGCATCAATAATTTATTTTCTTATACTCTCTGTCATTGCTGGTTTTGCCGTTTAGGTTTTGTTCATTTTCTCATTCATGTTTCCAGCAAATTTTTCCTATCTCCACCATGATCTTTGCCTTTTGCTCTTCCAATAGGAGGGATGGGGGAGCAGCACGTGGTTTTAGTGGCAGTACTAAATTGAGGAAGACCATTCCTAAAGCATAACGCATAATAAAATTATATGCTATGCTTCAATATTACATGAAGCTACTCAACTTCTAGTTGTGCCCCTTGCATGCAACAAAGTTGCAGGGCTGCTTTAGAGTTTCTTTCATAAACCCCTGTGGTGTCTGCATCATGATCATTTCAAAACAGCTGGTGGCGTCCATCCACTCAGTGAATCTGTTGTTGCTTATGGTGGATTTGTGGATAGGAACTTTTTGAAGATGTTAGATCTGAAAAGTGTGAGAAGACACAGTGTGAGATTTCCCTGTGGTGATTCCCAATCATTCTTCTAGTCACTCTTTCACTTATTTCTTTGTTGAGCATAACTTTCCCCAAACAAATGACAGACCCTATCAAAAGTTTCAACCTACTCTTTTAATGCAGTAATTACTCTTAAACCTGCAAATGTGGTTGGTGGCATTAGAAAAGAAGATTTACAATATTAATTCTGAGCACAAGAGTAATTTCTCCATTGACATTCATACTTTCTTTTGGTTTTGGTAAAACATTTAATGTAGCAGATGTCTTACCTCTTTGGGGCTTTTGGGAGCCATGCCCCATTTTTGGCATGTGTAATGCTCCCTCCTGGTGGTCTGTCACTGTCTCTGGGTGTGGCATAGATTACAAGTAAGAATGGCAGGGCTTTACACTGAGGAAAGCAATATAAAAGGCAGCTGGGTGAAGTTGAGAGGGAAGTGGGAATGTCTTTACTCCTGCGGAGATGGCAGCCATGCTGTGACAGATCCGTGTTTACTTTCCACCAGTGAACAATGAATGAAAATGCTATGGCATTCCTCACTTTGTCCGTCAACTACTGCCTTTTTGTGAAAATACCAAACATTTTCTATTTTCATGTCAAATTTTATCAAAAGAAATTGTTAGATTAAAAAAAATTAAAATAAAAATAAATTTAAAAAACTGGAAAAACAGAAAACCAAGATAATTTGTGAATGGAAACTGGGAAACTTCAAGAATTCTCCCAAATTCTGGATATTTGTGCCCTTATTTCAGTAACCATGCAAGCTTTCTGAGAAAATGGATAAGAAAGAGGGTCAGGGTGTTGCATGGGGTAGCTCCCCCAGAGGAGCTGGGAAGCTGGGG